CTTCAATTGCACAGTATTGCGCAATAGCAAGAAATCTTCAATTGCACAGTATTGTGCAATAGCAAGAAATATCCAATAGCACAATATTGCGCAATAGCAAGAAATTGTCAATTGTACAGTATTGCGCAATAGCAAGAAATATTCAATTGCACAGTATTGTGCAAAAGAAGATACTTCGTTTGAAATGATTATTTCTTGACCAATTTCAATGGGGTTTTATTCTTGAATTCTTGGGGTTCTTTAATATGCTGATTCTAACCGTGTATTAAGTTTTTGGATTTTGGGCCCCGTTTTTAAATTGGTCCACATTGAGGTCCAAAGGGTCCAAAATTAAACTTTGTTTGATTTCATCAAAAATTGAATTATTGGGGTTCTTTGATATGCCGAATCTAACTGTGTATTTAGATTTTTTATTTTTGGTTCCGTTTTCAAATTGGTCTACATTAAGGTCCAAATGGTCCAAAATTAAACTTAGTTTGATTTTAACAAAAATTGAATTCTTAGGGTTCTTTGATATGCTGAATCTAAACATGTATTTAGATTTTTGATTATGGGCCCAGTTTTCAAGTTGGTCCAAATCGGGGTGCAAAATTAAACTTTGTTTGATTTCAACAAAAATTGAATATATGGGGTTCTTTGATATGCTGAATCTAACCATGTATTTAGATTTTTGATTTTTGGGCCCCATTATCAACTTTGTCCACATTGAGGTCATAAGGGTCCAAAATTAAACTTTGTTTGATTTCATCAAAAATTGAATTCTTGGGGTTCTTTGATATGCTGAATCTAACCATGTATTTACATTTTGGATATTGGACCATAATAGGTGAATGTCCAATTTAAAATTTTTAAGTTCTTAGACCACATTCATTCTGTGTCAGAAACCTATGCTGTGTCAAATATTTAATCACAATCCAAATTCAGAGCTGTATCAAGCTTGAATGTTGTGTCCATACTTGCCCCAACTGTTCAGGGTTCGACATCTGCGGTCGTATCAAGCTGCGCCCTGCGGAGCATTTAATTCTATTTTTATTTGACATTTTTTATCGCTGCTCTGTGATAGCTTTGATCGATTTACTAGGAGCCCCACTATTCTAAGGAAAATGTTTGGATGCATATGTCGTTTTTATTATTTTATTGGTTCATATATACATATAGAAAGTTTTGATTACCAAAACTTGAAGCTGAAATGTTATATTATTATTTAGTGACATTAGATAGATATAAGAAGATGTGTTATGAGTGCTAATGAGACATCTCTCCATCCAAGTCAAAATTTATAAAAGTAAACCATTATAGGTAAAAGTCTGGTCTTCAACACAGAGCCTTGGCTCACACCGAACAAAGTTCATCAAAGTTTCTATAAAGCAACTTGTTATTTTTTAGAATGTCCGAGCCCTGCTTGACAGTCTCCCGAATGACCAAAACATTATAAAACCGTACAGTTCTGTTCACACACTGTGGTGTTTGGGATACCTGATGCAGTGGAATTATTCCTACTATAAATGTAACAAATATTTTTCAATTTTCTGGTGAAAGTTTGGTGAAAATTTAGGTCTGGCATAGTTCAGAAGGTCCAGCACGAAATTTATGTGTGCTGGGTAACCTTTGTCCAGCAAATTGAAAATATTTCAAAATGTATGTTTAAGATGCTTAAAATAAATGACAAAAATATTTGTGATAATATGGCGTTATCATAGTCCATGACATTTTAAATGACATTTGGTTTTTATACGACCGCAAAAAAATTATGTGGTCGTATATTGGTATGACGTTGGCGTCGTCGTCGTCGTCGTCCGGCGTCGTCGTCCGAAGACACATTGGTTTTCGCACTCTAACCTTAGTTTAAGTGAATGGATCTTTTTGAAATTTGACCATAAGGTTAAATACCACAAAAGGAAGATTGGGATTGATTTTGGGGGTTATGGTACCAACAGTTAAGGAATTAGGGGCCAAAAAGGGGCCAAAAATGAGCATTTTCTAGTTTCCAGACAATAACTGTGGAACGGTGTATGGATCTCTCTGAAATTATACTACAAGTTTCCATACCACAAAGGGATGGTTAGGATTTGCTTTGGGGGATTATGGCTCAAACCGTTTAGGAATTAGGGGCAAAAAAGGGGGAAAAACAAGGTTGTCCGGGTCAATGGACAAATACTTTAGTACAAAACATAATTTAAAGCAGTGTAAGGGAGATAAATCAAATACATCATTGAAATTATCTCCCTTACACTGCTTTTAAATTATGTATAAAGTAATGGTTAATGAACAATAAAGATAATCTAAAACAGTGTAAGGGAGGTAATCCAAATACAACGTTTTGGTTACTTCCCTTACACTGCTTTTAAATTATGTTTAAAGAAATGCATATTTATAAAGGAAGACCAGTAAAAATATCTGCAAATGTTGCATCTTTTTTTTTTACAAAAAAATCCATATGAAAGATTTGACACTATATTTTTATTAATTCTATTATAAAATAGATTAAGTTAGCACTATGGTAAATTTAAATGGGTAATTATGGTTGCCAACTCCATTGGAAATTTGAATTGAGATTATGACCATATCTTGAGGGACGGAATTTTTTTGGGGGAAAAAGGGGGGGGGGGGGGATAAAAAGAAATTGTGGGGGGCCAATTTTTTCTCATTTCAGATTTCAGAAATTAAAAAGAATTATTCTTCAAATATTATTTTTTTTTCAAATTTCAAATATTGAAAAATTTCAAGAAGTAATCTTTAATTGCACAGTATGGCGCATTAGATTTGTAAAATCTTTGATCACATTTATTTATTTGTAATGCCGAATCTAACAGTGTATTTAGATTTTTAATTTTGGGTCCAGTTTTCAAATTGGTCTACATTAAGGTCCAAAGGGTCCAAAATTAAACTTTGTTTGATTTTAGCAAAAATTGAATATATGAGGTTCTTTGATATGCTGAATCTAAACATGTATTTAGATTTTTGATTTTTGGCCCAGTTTTCAAGTTGGTCCAAATTGGGGTCCAAAATTAAACTTTGTTTGATTTCAACAAAAATTGAATATATGGGGTTCTTTGATATGCTGAATCTAACCATGTATTTAGATTTTTTATTTGTGGACCCCGTTATCAAATTGGTTCATATTGAGGTCAAAAGGGTCCAAAATTAAACTTTGTTTGATTTCATCTAAAATTGAATTATTGGGGTTCTTTGATATTCCAAATCTAACCGTGTATTTAGATTTTTAATTTTGGGTCCTGTTTTTTAAATTGGTCTACATTAAGGTCCAAAGGGTCCAAAATTAAACTTAGTTTGATTTTAACAAAAATTGAATTCTTGGGGTTCTTTGATATGCTGAATCTAAATATGTGTTTAGATTTTTGATTATGGGCCCAGTTTTCAAGTTGGTACAAGATAGGGTCCAGTATTTAAACTTTGTTTGATTTCAACAAAAATTGAATATATGGGGTTCTTTGATATGCTGAATCTAAACATGTATTTAGATTTTTGATTATGGGCCCAGTTTTCAAGTTGGTCCAAATTGGGGTCCAAAATTAAACTTTGTTTGATTTCAACAAAAATTGAATATATGAGGTTCTTTGATATGCTGAATCTAACCATGTATTTAGATTTTTTATTTGTAGGCCCCGCTATCAAATTGGTTCATATTGAGGTCAAAAGGGTCCAAAATTAAACTTTGTTTGATTTCATCAAAAATTGAATTATTGGGGTTCTTTGATATGCCAAATCTTACCGTGTTTTTAGATTTTTAATTTGGGTCCCGTTTTTTAAATTGGTCTTCATTGAGGTCCAAAGGGTCCAAAATTAAACTGAGTTTGATTTTAACAAAAATTGAATTCTTGGGGTTCTTTGATATGCTGAATCTAAACATGTGTTTAGATTTTTGATTATGGGCCCAGTTTTCAAGTTGGTCCAAGTTGGGGTCCAAAATTAAACTTTTTTTGATTTCAACAAAAATTGAATATATGGGGTTCTTTGATATGCTGAATCTAACCATGAATTTAGATTTTTTATTTGTGGGCCCCACTATCAAATTGGTTCATATTGAGGTCAAAAGGGTCCAAAATTAAACTTTGTTTGATTTCATCAAAAATTGAATTATTGGGGTTCTTTGATATTCCAAATCTAACCGTGTATTTAGATTTTTAATTTTAAGTTCCGTTTTTTAAATTGGTCTACATTAAGGTCCAAAGGGTCCAAAATTAAACTTAGTTTGATTTTAGCAAAAATTGAATTCTTGGGGTTCTTTGATATGCTGAATCTAAACATGTGTTTAGATTTTTGATTATGGGCCCAGTTTTCAAGTTTGTCCAAGTTGGGGTCCAAAATTAAACTTTTTTTGATTTTAACAAAAATTGAATATATGGGGTTCTTTGATATGCTGAATCTAACCATGTATTTTGATTTTGGACATTGGACCATAATAGGTAAATTAAAAAAAATTCAAGTTCTTAGACCACATTCTTTCTGTGTCAGAAACCTATGCTGTGTCAAATATTTAATAACAATCCAAATTCAGAGCTGTATCAAGCTTGAATGTTGTGTCCATACTTGCCCCAACTGTTCAGGGTTCGACCTCTGCGGTCGTATCAAGCTGCGCCCCAGCGAAGCATTTTATTGTGCAATAACTTGGGTATTAATTAATCATTTAACCACAATCCAAATTTACAGATATATCAAGCTTGTTTATCATTGTATACACAGGATAAATTGCAACATATGTTTTCCATATGTTTTTCATATGTTCAAAAACATATGTTTTCATATCGGGCCTAAACATATGTTTCCACATGTTTTCAAACATATGAAAAACTTATGTTAAACATATGAAAAACATATGTTAAACATATGAAAACATATGTTGCAATTTTTCCTATGTAATAGTGTCTAATACTTGCTCAACTGTCTAGTATTTAACATCTACAATGATCTATGAATTTGTATCAAACTGTTCATTTTAGTGATTACCATTGATAATAATAAATGTTACTGTATTTCAGTTTGACTTCTGAAAATGGATCACTTATATATACCCGAATGAAGGATTATATCACTGTACTGAGATGGTTTGTAAATACAAGTCACCAGAAATCAAAGACTTATACTGTATATGCTAAAAGCCTTTTCAAGACTCCTTTTATTTCTGAAGAAACATACACCAGAATTGTATCAGCATTTGCAGCCATGTGTGGATTACGAATTGAGTAAGTTGTCATGGATTACCATGACCTAATTAAGTGCCACTCTTAAAATTCCTAGCACCACATTTATTTTCTTGTCTGCCAAGCATGAAAATGCAATAGATTTGTGGCCAAGAGGCAATAAAGAATCTAAAATATAAGTAGTGTTAAATGGTATGAACACTGCCTCAAGGAATGTTCTTTGACAACTGATGTCCATCCATGTCATTATTATGATGACCCAGTTAAAGTAAACACATTAATTGCAAACTGTTCTACAAATACAAATGCTTGACTGTACCTTAAATGAAATGTGATTTATCCAAAGAATGTACGGTAATAAAAGTAGTAATCCAGAAAAGAAATGAATTTTCTGACCACATGGAAAAAGTTTTGATTTCTTTAACTTGTAAACAATTATCACATGATCTCTTTTGGTGGGAAATACTGGGGAACACTTTAAGTTACAGACAAACACTGTCTGGATATTTATAGACCTATGGGACTGGCCGGTGTGAACATTTTCTGCTTCCAATTCTCTTCCCGATCTCAGTTTTGTACTTTAATTATGATCAATCCTCATCACAGATGATTAACCAATCAAAATCAGGATTTCCTTAGTACATTCTTTCAACAGCTGATTATAAATGGTGGCATAGTAAACATAAAAAGGAATGTTGAAGTGAATGGAACTTTTAGATGGATCTTCTCTCAGTATGTCAGAATTAAATAATTCATGATCATGGTCGGTAGTCAAATTGCAACTTGCAAAATGGTTGATGTGGGCGTGTTTATTGAAATGCATGGTGATAAACACAACGATGCAAGAAAAACGATTGACTGAATTTGAGATTTCGTGCACAGGCACTTGTTTTCTATCCATGGCAAGATCAACTATTCTCTACATGTATTTAAATCAACCTGTTGAGCATATGAATTTTAATAAAAATCAATGGGTGTGCTTTCTTTGTTACATGTATAACATGAGCTGCAGCTGTGCAGTGGCAAGTGCCCCACAAGTGGTATTATTCATAAATTTCAAAATCAGTCCATCCATCTAGACAGAATTATTTAGAACTAGTCTATTGTTTTATTTTTTTTCATTTTTGATACTTTTCTCTGTAGTTTTAATCAAAGTACTGAAGTACTGAACATTGGATGACCTCAAGTTCTGTTGGGTGATGAATAAATGACAGGGAATTCAATTTCCCTGTAGTACTGAAACTAATTAGTGATATTACACAAAATGCATCATCTTGCTGTTTTATATAATATTATATCTGTTGCAAAGTGCTGCTCAGATCATCTTTAATAACTCTATAGGCAAACAGGTATTTATTGTATGCCAATATTCTATTCAAATGATAGTGTAGTGTAAGAGCATAATAAGGCTTCCTAAAATTTGGTATCAAGTTTAATATCAGTGAGCTATACTGTGTCACGACAGACAGACAGATGTGTTTTCAGATTCATCGCTCAACAACTTCCTGTTTACTGAACACTTGCACATTTTTACACTTACCGTAATAGCCAAGTAGAAAATTTTTTCTCAGAAACTACATAATAAGGCTTCCAGAAATTTGGTATTAAGTTTAATATCAGTGAGCTATACTGTGTGATGTGTTTTCAGATTCATCGCTCAACAACTTCCTGTTTACCGAAAAACTTACACATTTTTACACTTAATAGCCAAGTAGAAAATTTTTCGTGAGATTTTTCTCAGAAACTACATAACAAGGCTTCCTGAAATTTGGTATCAAGGTTAATATCAGTGAGCTATACTGTGTGATGTGTTTTCAGATTCATCGCTCAACAACTTCCTGTTTACCGAAAAACTTACACATTTTTACACTTAATAGCCAAGTAGAAAATTTTTCGTGAGATTTTTCTCAGAAACTACATAACAAGGCTTCCTGAAATTTGGTATCAAGGTTAATATCAGTGAGCTATACTGTGTGATGTGTTTTCAGATTCATCGCTCAACAACTTCCTGTTTACCGAAAAACTTACACATTTTTACACTTAATAGCCAAGTAGAAAATTTTTCGTGAGATTTTTCTCAGAAACTACATAACAAGGCTTCCTGAAATTTGGTGTCAAGGTAAATATCAGTGAGCTATACTGTGTGATGTGTTTTCAGATTCATTGCTCAACAACTTCCTGTTTACCAAACACTTAGTACACATTTTTACACTTAATAGCCAAGTAGAAAATTTTTCGTCAGATTTTTCTCAGAAACTACATAAGGCTTCCTGAAATTAGGTATCAAGGTTTATATCAGTGAGCTATACTGTGTGATGTAGTTTCAGATTGATCACTCAACAACTTCCTGTTTACTGTATACTTTTAGCGTGGGTATCATTAGTGAGCAGTACGTAGCTCACGGATTCACTTGTCATTTCTTTTTAAGCATATTTCCATTTTGCATTTGCAACTCCTTCTGAACCAATTGATAAATCTTCATGAAACTTTTAGAGAATAAGAATTGAGGAGCTCTCTTAAACTTAATTTTTTTTGTATATACTGATGTTTATGTATTGTGCTTTTTATCATTTTAGAAATGGTACTGCAGATAATCCGGCTGTATGGGATAATTTGAGAGGAATTGGTAAATTAGTTATCTCAAAGCCAGACTTTAGATTTCATTGTACAGGAGAAGACTTTTCTGATGTTCATAGTAATTTATTTACTGTTATAAAGGTATTTTCAATTTACTAGTATAAACATTAACATGCTAATATCTTAAGTACTGCTTTTTAGCTCACCTGGCCTAAATCTTCTCCTCTGAACTACTGAGCCAAATACTTTAAAACTTTAACAGAATGTTTCTTAGGGTATCTAGTTTATAAATTGTATCCAAAGTTTAGATCTATCAACAAACATGGCTGCCATTGCTGAAAATAGAACATAGGGGTCAAATATAGTTTTTGGCTTATATCTCGAAAACTAAAGCATGTAGAGCAAATCTGATAGGGTAAAAATGTTCATTAGGTAAAGGTCTATCAGCCCTGAAATTTTCAGACGAATCAAACAACCAATTGTCGTTAAGTTCTCAGATTATGACAGATAGCAGATTTTACCAATAATTTTTTATGCCCCCGCTGTAGCGGAGGGGGCATTAAGTTTTACCCTTGTCCGTCTACTGCAAAATTTCCTTAAAATTACCAATTTAGTGGACAAAAGCACAGTATTGCGCAATAGCAAGAAATCTTCAATTGCACAGTATTGCGCAATAGCAAGAAATCTTCAATTGCACAGTATTGTGCAATAGCAAGAATTCTTAATTGCACAGTATTGCGCAATAACAAGAAATCTTCAATTGCAATGTATTGCGCAATAGCAAGAAATGTTCAATTGCACAGTATTGCACAATAGTAAGAAATATTTTATTGCACAATAGTAAGAAATATTTTATTGCACAGTAGCACAATATCACAGTATTGCGCAATAGCAAAAAATCTTCAATTAAAAATTAATACAAATATTTTAACCCATTTCAAGTTGTACAGATCTTTTTCCACATTTTGTGTGTGTCAGAAACCTATATTATGTCAAAAATTTGATCACAATCCAAATTCAGACAGTATCAAGCTTGAATATTGTGTCCAAACTTGCACCAACTGTTCATGGTTCGACCTCTGCAGTCGTTATGAGACTGCACTCAGCGATGTTTTTTATTGGGTTATTATCTTGAATATTATTATAGATAAAGATAAACTGTTACAGCCAAAATATTCTACAAAGTAATATCTACAAATAAGTCAACATGACTAAAATTGTTAATTGACCCCTTAAGGAGTTATAATGGCCTTTAAAGACAATTTGACACAATTTGTTCATCATATAAACACAAAAAGATGTGGTATGATTGCCAATGAGACAACTCTCCATTTAAGCAAAGCAGTTTATTAAGAAAAATGCATATAAAAGAAATTGCTTCAAGGGGACATAACTCTCAAAAGGGATAATGAAATCCTTTGCAGCCTCATCTGGTAATACAGCATGATGGGATCTACCTATTGTCCAAATAAGATCATGATATCTTCAAAAACAACGTGGGGAGGGGGGGGGGGGGGGTCATGTAAAAAAAAAACAATAAAAGGGGATGATGAAATCCTTAACAGGGTCATCTGGTAATACTTCATGATGAGGTCAATCAATGGTCCATATTTGGTCTTGATAACTTCAACAGAAATGTGGCGAGTCCATGCCAAAAAAAGATAAGGTCTTTTCTAACGTAGTGGAAAGACCTTAAAAACACTTGTATCTCAATTGTTTGTAAAACAATTGAAAGGTCTTTCCTGTAAAGGTGATGTTTTTGTAATGTACTCTTTACGATCTTTCATTTGATATACGACAATCATACCTTTTGAACCTTAAGCTTTTCACTTTATACACTTAATGACCCATTTCGCCAAAATTTTCGAGATTGTAACTATGATATTTGTAATGTAGACTTGATGACCTTTCATTTGCTATGCGACAACACCATTTTCTAGAAAGTTTGATTTTTGCACTTAATAACCCCATCTTACTCATTTTTGGGAACAGGAATTTGATATTTGAAATGTACACATTATGACCTTTCATTTGATATATGACAACCTTATTTTATGAGACATTGTATTTTTTGCACTCAATGACCCCACCCAAAGCAGGCATTTTCGGGGGACGTCAATTTGATATTTGAAATGTACGCTTTATGGACTTTCATTTGATATGCGACAACCTAACCATCTGAAAAGTTTTAATTTTTTGCACTAAATGACCCCATCCTTTGCACTGGGATGAAAAGGGGGTTTAAAATTTTCATTTTTGAGTAGAGCTCGTTCAGACGTTCAATTTGATATACTAAATGACCCCATTTGGCAAAGTGCCAAAAATGATGCAATATCAATTGTATAAATAGAACTTATGAAACTTAAAAAGTCAATGTAAAACCTGGATATTTTAAATTGATTTTTTTAAAAAGTTTTTCATTGAAAGTTTTTGGTAATTAATCAAACATATAACCATGTTAAACTCTTCATTTTCTGAAAATTTCAGGTGGTAAGCTGTTGTTCATTCAGAAATACATGCCTCCGCTTGCAAAATTTGAACCTGCATTATCTCTAAAACGACAGCACATATCTCAAATCTGCTAAGTGATAAATGATCTGCAGTTGAAGGACAACATTGTAGAAAAAAATTGGGGCACTTCCAAGGTTCATCAAGGTCACAATGAATAATCAAATATATGATGCAATACCAAGCTTGATTTAATTCAGTTACTTTCTCACTAGTCAAAACTTGGGGGGCCACTTCCTATATACAAGGTGATAGGACGTGCAGCTGGAATAGATCACCTTTTTTAGCTTGAAAATGTGTGAATAGGTTGGGAAAACTATCAGAAAGATATGAAAAGGTCAACAAAGTTCCAATAATTTCTTCATCTGGCATCATTCTTTGTGTTCCCGGCTGTGCTTTTATCAACCAAGTTTTCTCTTTTGACACTTTGGTAATCCACTCATACATTACACACCATATGAAACCCAAACAATATTGAAAAAGGTTACACTTCACCTATGCAATATATGAAAAGGTATACATTTTCAAAATCTAAATTATATGAAAAGGGTGGGGGTAGCAGAACCCCAGCGGGCACCCCTATCAATTAAGTATTGCAGTAGGCTCCCCCGAGAGTCCAAATAATTATGCCCTCTTGAAAGGCTTTTTTATTTGTTATTTGTTTGACACCTTCCTACGACACACGAAAGGCGTCAAAGCAAAAAATAGAATAGCATTTCAAGACCTCATTATTATTTGGACTAACTTCTCACCAGAAATTATGCTGGGAATTGCAATAAATGTTTATATATATAAATCTGCTGTTGACGGGATATAGTAAAGTATTCTAAAGGTTTTCTGACTTCGTCCCCTTTCACAGGTAACACCTGCCTCATATTACTTTAACAACAGGGTATCAAATGATATTAGAATTATTATTAAATTGGAATTTGGGTAAATTTATGGGATTGACAAATTTTATGTCTCATATGCATTAAAAGTAAACAAGAAATAAGATATTGTCATCATTATATCCATACTGAACATAGTATCTTAATTTTAATGTTGTTTACAGACTTACTGTATGTATATTATTTTGGATTATATTATCCATAACTCTATGCCATGTGCACCCAGCTTTTTATACGACCGCAAACATTTTTTTGGGATCGTATAATGGTATGATGTCGTCGTCTGCGTCGTCGTCAGAAGACATATTTTGTTTCCGGACAATAACTTTAGTTTAAGTGAATTGATCTCTATGAAATTTTTAAGAAGGTTCAGTACAACAAAAGGAAGGTTGGGATTGATTTTGGGGATGATGGTACCAACCGTTTAGTAATTAGGGGCCCAAAACAAGTATTTTTCCAGTTTCAGGATAACAACTTGTGTATAAGTATTTCGATTGCTCTGAAATTGTACCACAATGTTTAATACCACAAGTAGAAGGTTGGGATTCATTTTGTGGGTTATGGTGCCAACAGTTTAGGAATTAAGGGCCAAAAAGGGGCAAAAAACAAGCATTTTTGTAGTTTCTGGACAATAATTTGTGTGTAAGTGTATGGATCTCCCTGACATTGTACCACAAGGTTCCATATCACAAAGGGAAGGCTGTGATTGAGTTTGGGGGTAAATACCCCAAACATTCAGGAATAGGGGGCCAAAAATGGGCCAAAAACAAGCATTGATTTAGTTTCCAGAATTAACTTGTGTTTAAGTGCATGGATCTCTCTGAAATTGTACTACAAGGTTCCATACTAAAAAGGAAAGGCTAGGATTGAGTTTTGGGGTAATTGCTCCAAGGGGGGATTCAAAAAGTTTGGGGTGAATTTTTTTTTCCAATTTTTTTAAGGGGTTCATATTTTTTTTTCAAAATTTTTCAAATTTCAAATTTTTTAAAAGTTTCAAGAAGAAATCTTCAATTGCACAGTATTGCACAATAGATTTGTAAGATCTTTGACCACATTTATTTTGTGTCAGAAACCTCTATTATGTCATGTATGTCAAAAATTTCATCACAATACAAATTCAGACAGTATCAAGCTTGAATATTGTGTCCAAATTTGCCCCAACTGTTCAGGGTTTCGACCTCTTCAGTCCTATCAGGCTGCGCTTAGCGAAGCATTTTATTTTTATTAGATTATTGACATGAACATTTTTATGAGGTAAGTTGACTGAGGCTGTGCGATGCACAGGGTAAGTTGACTGAGGTTATGCTGTGCACACGGTTAGTTGACTGAGGCTGTGCCATGCACAGGGTTAGTTGACTGAGGCTGTGCTGTGCACAGGGTTAGTTGACTGAGGCTGTGCCATGCACAGGGTTAGTTGACTGAAGCTGTGCCATGCACAGGGTTAGTTGACTGAAGCTGTGCCATGCACAGGGTAAGTTGACTGAGGTCGTGCTGTGCACAGGGTTAGTTCACTGAGGCTGTGCTGTGCACAAGGTTAGTTGACTGAGGCTGTGCCATGCACAGTGTTAGTTGACTGAGGCTGTGCCATGCACAGGGTAAGTTGACTGAGGTTGCGCTGTGCACAGGGTTAGTTACTCAGGCCATACCATGCACAGGGTTGGTTGACTGAGGCTGTGCCATGCACAGGGTAAGTTGACTGAGGTCACGCTGTGCACAGGGTTAGTTACTCAGGCCATACCATGC